CAGGCCGTTCTGTCTGTAAGTGGTGTTAAAACAGATCACCACACACACACACACACACACACACACACGTGTGAGGTTTTTGGCCACTAGGGGGCACCAGTCAGTCAGTTTTATAATAAAACCAGATGTCATCTCTTCTCGTGTCTGTTAGCAAAATATCTCATGAACCACTGATCCAATAATGTTGAAACTTTCAGAAGTTAATTATTAAACAAACAGTTAAAACTGTTCAASTTTTGGAGCCTCCTCTATTTAAACTGGCTGGCACAGCCACCGGACTTTAAAAAACCACCTAACTGCTCTAACTCAGACAGTTTGACAGATATTGACCTATAATTTGGTATGGTAGTAGTTGAGAGTTGTCCCCAACATATATTCTGAGCTTGATGTTTTGTATCAGATTTTACTTTGTTTTTGAGGTTTACTCTGGCAGACAGCGAGCGATATTCATTCCTTCAAAGAGTTGACGGCCTTTAAGTTTAGCAGCAACTCACTGAAGTTTACACAGTGAAATTATCACCATGTAAGAGTAAAAATAATTTAAAATCTGTAAACGGTGAGATGTTTAAAATCAACTCTAAACATTACTTTGTGAGTAAAGTCTTTGTGTTGCCTTCACGTACACCTCGGAAATTAAATTATCTTCTTGTATCTTATGCAGAACAAAATGCAAATTAAAATATATTTTAACAAATCTGAAATGACAGTTTTTGAGAAAGTAAATTGTCCAAATTTAACTCAGAAATCTAAAAAGTAAAAATAAATAAAATACAGTTTGAGTCAAAAGTCTCAGGACGTCATTTTATTTTAAAAACACAACCAAGAATGAAAAATCTGAAACTCCAGCAGGTAACAGGTGAGACGAGGTTTCTTTAGACTGTGTCCAGAACATGTCGGCCATCTTGAAAGTCTCCATGTTGGATCAAAGTCAGTTTCCAACAGGAAGGAGGTCATAAAACATCTCAGAAATGAATCGCTGCAAACAGATTTATATAAAACCTGTAGTTTAAAAGTTAAAACAACAACTGGCTGTTGTCTCATGTTCAATGAGCTTTCATCCAACTTTCAAGATGGCCGACATGTTCTGGACACAGTCTAAAGAAACCTCGTCTCACCTGTTACCTGCTGGAGTTTCAGATTTTTCATTCTTGGTTTTGTTTTTAAAATAAAATGACGTCCTGAGACTTTTGACTCACTCTGTATTTGATTTATTTGTACTTTTTAGATTTCTGTGAGTTAAATTTGGACACTTTACCTTTTCAAAAAACTGTCGTTTCAGATTTGTTAAAAAATATTTTAATTTGCGTTTTGTTCTACTTAAGATACAAGAAGATATTTCAATTTCCGAGGTGTACCTGAAGGCAACACRAAGACTTCACTCACAAGAAAATGTTTAGAGTTGACTTTAAACATCTCATCTTTTACAGATTTTAAATTATTTTTACTTTTACATGGTGATAACTTCACTGTGTGAACTTTGGTGAGTTGCTTTATTCTTTCTTCTGTTCCTGAAAGAAAGGCGTGTCCTGAGACTTGTGACTTATTGTGTTTAAAATGAACCGTTTGTGGTGAAGAGAACGTCCAGCAGCTGAACATGTGTCTGGTTCCAGTCTGCAGAGCGGAACACCATGGAGAAGGTGGTGCAGACCAACCCACACAAACTGGAGCAGATGATGGACGAGATGAAGCAGATCCTGGTTCCCATGGCCCAGAAGTGAGTGGTTCTCTTAAAGTCTTCCCGTCCCCGCGAGGTCCAACCTGAATGTTTGTCCTCGTGTCCCACCGTGTCTCAGGGAGCAGGTCATCAAGCACTCTCTGGTCCACAAAGTCTTCCTGGATTTCTTCCTGTTCGCACCGAGCAAACAGAGATCTGTGAGTTTCTTCTTCCTGTTTGATAAAACCTGCTGCCATCATCATCATCATCATCATCTTCACTCCTCTCTGTTCGGAGCAGGAGATGATCGAGTCCATCAGGGAGTCGGTGGTCTACATGGCCCACACACACGACGGGGCTCGGGTGGCCATGAACTGTCTGTGGCACGGCACGGCCAAGGTTCGACAAAGATTTCATTCATGGTTTGATTTTAGTTACAAGTTTAGGACATTTGATTAAAATAAGAAAACAAGTGAAAAATCAGGAAAAAAAGCACAAATATGTCAGAAATTGTAGCCAACATTAGCATAAAATAGGAACCATGAGCAAAAAGTAGCTTGAAGAGCAGGAAAAGCTGAAACTGCCAAGGAGATATTGAAAAAAAAAGTCAAATTACAAAAAATAAATAAATAAAAATAAACAGAAAGTAGGTAAAACTTAGAGAAAATTAACTAACTTACCAGATGTTGACCATCAGTCCACCAGGATAT